CTCTTTTAGCACCTAGGTTTGAAAGCTCCTGATGACCTCAGTTCCTTGTATGCAGGGAATGGAGCCGAAAGCTCCCTCTTTCATCAAGGGAGTAGCTACATACAGGCTCGATTTACCTCATTAAATACTACAACGTGACCATCAAACACACAATCACATAAATAAAGACTGTCTTGTTCTCTGCCCTCAGCAACTGCAGAACTAAGAATTTGGAAGAAGACTTAGCTCTAACCCTTCTTGCTTTAAATGCTTTATCTCGCAACTTTATATTCTAGCTGGTAATAACTCCCATGGGGGGAAAAAAACAGTAATTTTCTCTTTATTGACATTCAAGGGGAATATCCTTTTTCAGTAACTGTTAATTGTAAGACAATTTATATATAAACCTCAGTTATGCTTAAAAATACTGATGAACATCTCTCACTATTCACATTCAAATGTCTTTCCTCAAATTCACTAAATCTCTTTTTGAAAGTGTTTTAGAATGTAATTAATGTGTTGTAATGCGCTTCCCCATCACCATAAGCTGGTTTTCACGCAAGTCAGACTTCGCAGAAATGGCAGATGAAATGCTTTAAAGATTATTTTGGAGGAGAGAAGCAAGATTCACTTGTTGCCAGATGAAGATGTTCTGGTTGACAGGTGAACATTTATATTGTATTATTAAACAAACTAGTATCATACCCCTACAGCTACCATCATGCTACTATGTAATTTTTTTTAATTTGTTCAGAAAATAATACTGTGTTTTACCATATCCTTAAAAAAGGAGCATCTTGAAATTACCTGATCCTCAAGTCAAAGTCAGCATACTTGCAGTTTCCCACCATCTTTTTTTTTATTTTTTTGGTAGCTGGACATAAACCCACCATAAATGTTAAAGCAACAATAACATTTTATCCCAGGCTATGTGACAGAATGTCTTTTTGCCATACTACAGGTATCCCAAACTCCTGTGCTATGAGTGGATAGGCAGGACTGAAGGTGCTCAGAAGGAAGGAAAGGTCAAAATGTATTAAATGAAGCAACGGGCAGAAGCTGGCTGATATTACCTACATTTTCTTTTATTGCCATAAGACGTTCTTTGTTTCAGCAACCATTTTGGATTATCTGTGTAATTCAAGGGATTTCTGCAGTAATTTCTGTAGTACTTGTCAACCTGTCTTTGAATGAACGCACTCAACACCCAGTATCAGACCTCCTTCACTGACACCAAATGTAATGCAGTAGGCTTCCCAACAGTTCTGAAAAACTTGCTTCTGAACGTATTCCTGCAGGTATAACTGATGACTATACAACAGGACTTGTACGGGTTACTACTATCACCATCACCTTAAGCAGCACTTAACAGACGTTCTTGAGGACAATTTTGGCAGAACAGCCAAGAACTAGTATAGCACCAAAACTGGAAAGAGTTCACAAAGGCCACAAATCCTTCTCCCTGCCTTTTAAAGGTCTCACAATATGTATGACAACATATATATACATTCTAACAACAATATAACACCTGGCTCTGCTAGTGGAACAGCACAGCAGGTGCTAGAGTCTATACAGGTATCGACATTAACCTAGTCTCATTCATCAAGGTTGCTAAAAGAAAAGGACAGGGGCAAAAAAAAATTTCCTAACACTTTCTGCAAAGCCACCAGCATGGTGAAACAATCCAATTTGACAGACACAAACACTGTATGCAGATCAATGCTACAGAGCTAAAAGTTTTTTCCCCTCCTCCTGCCTTTTGTTTGCTACTCATACAGCATAACTGTCTCTTAACACTGGATTCCCATTTTCTTTTCCTCGCCATCTGCCTTTTAATTTTGCCGAAGGCCCTATTTGCATTAATTTAACCAGCTCCTCCTTCAAATGTAATTAAAAATCCTAAAAATTGTAATTTCCCCTGCATTTCTCACTTAAGTGAGACAGAGGAAAGCAGAACTGAAAGAATTTAAATTACGCACAATGATTTAACTGAAATACCTATCTCAAACTTTTATCTCCATACTGCCCACACAGAAGATAATCTCTCTGTGTACTTCTAGCAGTGTAAAAGGCGTTTTACAGATCATTAACTGTCACTATAGTCTTGCAAAAACACTGCATATGAACAAAAAGAAAGGACAGAGAGAGATTTCAATTTAATAAAAGATACCCAATGCGAACAAAACTTTAGCACTTGCAAAGTTTAGCACTTTGCAAACAAATTACACCACGCTTTGCAATAACTTAGAGGCAGGCTTCAACTGGAACTCTTTTTGAAGATGACTGCTAGGACCCCTGATTGGCGTACAGAACTGCAGCACAATCACAAGAAATAGGGGCGGCATATGTTTTCAGAAATTACCTCATCCATCTTTCAGCCCCAAAACAGGACCGTCTTTACTGATGTCATCATTCCTGAGAGAGGTTTATCCAACCTGTTTTTCAAACAAGATTCTGCAACCTCTCCAAGTTATATCTGTATTCGTATCACCTAACCTAAATCCTTTCACTGCAATTTAAGTATCACATTACTTTTCTTATCCAAAGTGAGTACGTAGAACAGGCCTGTATGCTCCTCAATGCAGCTGCCTTTTGTAGATTTAAAACTTAGTTATTTTCAGTTTTCTTTTGCCTAGGCCAAACATCTCCGACTCCTTCCATTGCTCTAGATGTACTGTATGCTAGGCTTGTGATCATTATTTTCTGCTGAACTTTCTCCAGCTGGCCAACATGAAGTGCACTACACAAAACTGGGCAGAGTACTCTACATAAACCAGGACTGCGCCATGTATTTTACAGGCCATAATTCTGCTTGTACATCCCTGTGTGATGCTGGACTTTTCTACAGTGGAAAATACTGTTGACTCAAGTTCAGCTTTTTATTCAGTACAATACCCAGATCCTTTCCTAATGAACAGCTGCATAAGCTGTTTTTATCCTCATTCTATGTTTCTGCAGCTGCATTTTTGCCCAAATGTAGTACTTCCACATGCCCGTAGGGAGCCACCACTTGCTCTTCCTTCAAACCACTTCTCTAAATTATAAGCATCACTATGAATCCTAATCCTGTCCTTCAGCATGCCTGCAGCGCCTCTCAGTTTTATGTCACCTGCAGCTGTAACTGGCAAACTCCTCTGTCGCGTTGAAGTCCTTAACTAAAATACTTAACAGTAAAAAGCCAGGAAATATTCTGCTCTATACCACTGGTTTTTTTGTTGGCTTTTTGGGGTTTTTTTGGACAGTGAAATATCCATAACTACTCTGAGAACTGAACTTTATAATTTTCCAGGCAGGTCTGCAATCACACTGACAGAATATATTCCAGGGCACAGCTTCCCTTGTTTATCAACTTATTAGAATGGCACGGGAGAAAGTATCAAAAGGTTCACTTAAGTCAAGTTATAAGACATCAGCAGATCCTCCTCTATTCACGAGGTCTGTCACCCTATCAAAGGAGGAGATTAAATTGATTTTGACATTATTTGTTCCTGAGCCAGCTCTTACTCATTGTCCTGTCATCTTCTCTCGGCTTTCAAACAGCACAGCAGCGTTTGTTTCAGTATTTTTAGAGGAAGTAAAGGTAACTTGACAGGGTCAACAAATCCCTTGTTCTTCCTTTCTTCATTTTTAAAGATAGTATTATGTTTGCCGTTCTCCACTCTGTCATCTCACCTGCACCCCATCATTTCTGAAAGGCACAGCACTGAGATCATCTCAGGAACTAGCTGAAGCAAACTACAAGGAGCTCAGCCAGGCCCCTACCAATTTAAAATAATTTCACAAAATCAAGCACTTGAAAATGTTTCATCTTAAGAGGTGAGACACTGTCCTCTGGATGTGCCCCACTGGCTGCAGAGAAGGTTAAGGCAGATGTTAACAGATGTTAACCTTCTAAAGCTGAAGTTAGAAGACACAAATGCTAAACTCCATGTCCTGCTGTATTAATTTTTCACTAACTGTCTAGGTAGCCAAAGTCTGACGTAACTAGCAATTTGGTTCACTCTCTGATACAATTTACAAAAAGCCTTATCTTCCTGATCTCATTAGTTTGACGGTCTGTAAAAAAAAAAAAAGAAAATCCCTCTGAAATTACTCTGATTCTTTCCCCCTTTAACATGATTATTTTATCATGTCTTTTTCTTATACCATCCAGTTCTTACATCAGGACACATAACTGAGTTTTGTTGCCCAATACATTTCTCCTTTCCTTCATGGTTATCTTACTGAGTCAAGCTACAAAATCCCATATTACCATACCAATCAAGTGAATTATTCTTCCAAGTATACACCAATTAAGTGTCTTTGAACATATAACATCTCTTTTTGTTTATTCACTTGATATCCTGCGTTAGAATACTGATTCTCTGCTTTTCAGCACTGTGATCTGCTACCCTCCTCCTCCATTCCCCATGCTCAATATTCCAACTGTGAGAAATGCGATATCCCCTTTTGTTTTACCTCCCACCATAGCACAATTTACTTTAGAACGCTCACTAATAGAGACATTATAAATACAGCCCTCTCTCTTCATGCAGAGATGTTCAGTTACTATAAAAGCAAGGATAGAAACATGATTGAAGAGCTTGGACTCACAATTTTTACATCTCTTTCCTTACAAGTCCACCTACCGCATCAGTCAGAACATACAGACCTCACTTGTTCTTAATTCTGTTTTGTTAATTTTGAATTACTTGATTCTTACATTTATGTCTTCATAATGTGAATAGACTGTCACTGGCTTGTAACTGACTGTCATTTTCAGAGTACTTCCCACCAACAGCTTAGTATCCGTGATGCTTGCAGCTTTCTTTAGAAAGCAAGCTAGTTGAAACTGGCTTGGAACTGGAAAAAAAGATACTGCAAAACAGTGCAGCAAATAAAACTACCAGATAAGCCTCTCTCCTTGTGTGCTTGCTGTGCATATGCTTTTGTGCTAAGGGGACGTAAAACAGTAACACCAGCACAAAATTACTTACACAGTGGTAATCGCTAAACCTATTTATGAAAGCTGCACAACTTACGCAATCTTGGCACACACTGAGCACTTCCACTGCCCATCAGTTCCCACGACACGACACTTATTGCAAACTCGAAGTTTGCAGGTTTGGCACAGGTCTCCTCTGTCAAAGATTAAGCCCAGGCTTTTCTGACAGCGAACACAGACCCTGCTGTTGTCCTGTTGACAATGACGGTTTCCACCTTTCCTTCTCACTTCCAGAAGCTCATTTTTCAATTTCCTAGAAGTAAGAAAATAAAATCTTTTAATTTGGAGATACAACTCAATGACCTGTAAGAACTTTTTAACAGATTAAGATTTAGTGCTAAAAACTACAAGACGCAAATAAGTACAACACAACTGTTTTTTTACATTTGCTGTATTTTTTGACACACATACAACAAAGAAGAATAAATCTATCCTCCACCTCTCAGACATGCAGTCAAGAGGAAAATCCTGTGGTAGATCAGTATAAGTAACTGCAGACAGCTGAGCAGTTCTGGACAATTGGTAAACCATCTTTGCTTGTCCCTCATCAATAATTCAAGTCATGCTGACCCCAGGTTGACAGCAGCTCAAAACTGGGACTATCCTGTGCATCCACAGAAGGAAAAGAAGAACATCTTTCCTGTAATTAGTGTGCATTTAATACTATGCCAGTGTAGAGTTAGCTAGGAATGCATATGCAATTCTGCACCGGCTATTCAAAGCCTAAAAAAATCCCAAACCAAAACATCTAAGTAGATAGTGGTGTTATGCTGTGATGCCACAATTAAAAAAAAAAAAAAGAGAATGTCAGTTTAAATAACGCGACTTGCAGATTACCAGTTCTTCCACTGACTCTGCAGGATAAAAATATTTGCATTTAAGACCTAATTTTGAAGGCTGCAATTTCAATGGTGCATGAGTTGGGTCCTTAATGAGAAAATAACCATAAGTGAGATGTAAATACTGTATTTCCAACAGCAAAAAAAGGAATTTGAAGAGAAAGAGTCAGGAAGGATGACAGGAGAGTCAGTTTTCTATGCCTGTCTTCCAAAACCAGGGACTCAAGCAGGACCCCATCATAACCCAAACCTCTCACTAATAGCTCCTTCTACCTTGCTTCCTGACCTCAACTCCAGAGCTTTCCCTCTCACGCCACAGCCTCTAGCTCTTACCCCTCCCACCCCAACCCACAGAACCATCTAGGTTGGAAGGGAATATTGGAGGTCACCTAGTCTAAACTCACAGCCAAAGCAGGGCCAACCAGATTGGGTTAATCAAGCCTTTGTCTGACTGAATAACAGAGTAACTCCAAGTAAAGAGTCTACAATGTCTCTGGGCACCTGTTCCAGAATCTGACTAACTTTATGTTTGTTTTTTAAAAAACAAACAAACAAACAAAAAGCCTTCCTAATATCTAACCAGAATCTCCCGCATTCCAGCTTGTTCCCATTGCCCCTTCTCCTTTCACTGTGTACCTCTGAAAGGAGTCTGGCTCCATTTTTTCTATACCGTCATACTAAGGACTTGAAGACACAATCATGTCTCGCCTTTGCCTTCTCTTCTGAAGGCTAAGCAAACCCCGTTCCCTCCACCTCTCCTTCTACATCATGTGTTCCAGCCCTCTAATCATCTTGATGGCCCTCCACTGAACATGCTTGAACATACTTGAACAACAACCCCATGCAGTGCTACAGGCTTGGGGAAGAGTGGCTGGAAAGCTGCTCAGCAGAGAAGGACCTGGGGGTGTTGGTCGACAGCCGGCTGAACATGAGCCGGCAGTGTGCCCAGGCGGCCAAGAAGGCCAATGGCATCCTGGCCTGTATCAGAAATTGTGTGGCCAGCAGGAGGAGGGAAGTGATCGTGCCCCTGTACTCGGCACTGGTGAGGCCGCACCTCGAATACTGTGTTCAGTTTTGGGCCCCTCACTACAAGAAGGACGTCGAGGTGTTAGAGCGTGTCCAGAGAAGGGCAACGACGCTGGTGAAGGGTCTGGAGAACAAGTCTGATGAGGAGCGGCTGAGGGAACTGGGGTTGTTTAGCCTGGAGAAAAGGAGGCTGAGGGGAGACCTCATCGCTCTCTACAACTACCTGAAAGGAGGTTGTAGCGAGGTGGGTGTTGGTCTTTTCTCCGAAGTAACAAGTGATAGGACGAGAGGAAATGACCTCAAGTTGCGGCAGGGGAGGTTTAGATTGGATGTAAGGAAAAATTTCTTTACTGAAAGAGTGGTGAAACATTGGAACAGGCTGCCCAGGGAAGTGGTGGAGTCCCCATCCCTGGAAGTATTTAAAAGACGTGTAGATGAGGCGCTTAGGGACATGGTTTAGTGGGCATGGTGGTGTTGGGTTGACGGTTGGACTCGATGATCTTAGAGGTCTTTTCCAACCTCAATGATTCTATGATTCTATGATTCTATGCTCCAGTATGTAAATGACCCTCCTGTTCTGGGGAGCCCCAAACTGGAAACTGTATTCCAGATGTGGTCTCACAATTGCTGAATAGAGGGGATAATCACTGGCCTCAGCTGCTAATGTAGTCCTGTATGTGGTCAAAATTGTTACATCCTCTCAACACTTCTCAGCTGAAGCTCCATCCACTCAACCCCAGGGCTCCTCTCATCCATCTCAGCCTTTTCAATAAACAACCTACAGGTCCCCTGCTTTCTCCAGGCTCTTTCCTGACTTCGCCCCCCCCCCCCCCCCCCACACCCCCTCACCTAATCTCCATTCTTTCAAACCCTTCCTGCACTCCACTCTACCCCAAGAATACCTCCGCCCCAGGGCCCCAGCTCAGCAGCTGCTAAGTTCTTTCAGTTTTACATGCCTGGGTGTTGCTGTGTCCCCATTCCTTCACCCTTCCCTACGCTCTCTTTCATGCACTGCCATCTGCCAAGAGCCTCCAGAGTCCCTCTATCATGAAGCACTGCAGCTCACTGAAATCACAATCTCTGCATACACATATATGCTTTAAAGGGGGATTTAAAACACCTGGCTACTGGCTTCACCTAAAGATCAGTAAAAGGTGTCAGGAAGGAAAACACTTCGGGAAGATAAAACCAATAAAACATTATAGGTTGCAGCCCAGTGAAGGAGGCCAGGAACATTGCTTAGGCCGCCAGGGACAGCTGGTGGCCTGACAGAATTAGGTTATTTGTGGATACATTGCCTTGCTAAAAGGTTGGCTAGCATTTTGCTTCCCACTGGGATCCCATGAACAACAGCTGCTCTGCAGCCACCTGGCCTGTGGATGCTCAACCTCTGACAGTTTTTGAAAAAGGGCATGTCCAATCCCTCCAGGCAGCAACTACAAATCCTGTCAAGCATTTTCCTCTGCTGGCCTCTATCCAAAAGTGATTTCTTCATTCTGCTTTGGACCCTTCTTCTCCCACATTCAATCCAAACAGCCTTTCTCTCATACCATAGCCTTCAAAAGTCTGTCCAGGCTTCACGAGCTTTCTTGGTACTTTGCTAATTGTTCTTGCAGTTTATCGATTACATCTTACATCTACCTACCTCCTGCAGAAATACACGTAGTTACAGGTCCATGTCCATTTTCTTCTTCTGTCAATCAGCCAGTTCCAAATGCAGGCGGGTGACCTGCACTACAGCAACTGCCAACTGCACTGCAATATTGCCATTGTGCACAGGGAAGGCAGATGATCACCACTTTTACCACCCCCTCCTTGGATCCACCTCCTAAACAAGCCTGCCTTCAAACAGCGAAAGTCAATTTATCTGCTTCTTCTGGACTGAGAACTAAAGGCAAAAAAGAAACCCCTGCTACTAGAACACTCTCGACCACGCCATTTTAAAAGAGATACCACATCTATCCACTTGAATAGTGGATACTAATTATTATAGTATCCACTATAGTGGATAATATAGTAAAATAAATTCTATTT